TTTGCAATGGTTGCCAGCTAATGGCACTCTTGGGTTGGGTGGGACCAGATCATCCCACAGTTACAGGTGAGTGAAGCTCAAACATCAGATCACATTCTATGTCTTGGGGACTCTCTTCATGTTTTCCCTCCATCCTACAGGTGAGCTTCCCACTCAGGGAGTACTGCTGAGTCACAATCTGTCTGGACGGTTTGAGTCTCGTTTTGTCACTGTGAAGATAGAAACCAGTCCGTCCATTCTGCTGCGTGGAATGGAAGGCTCTTCATTTGGTGTTTGGGTTGCACACGGGGAAGGTAATTTATTATCATCATTCTGCAGAACTTTACAATTGAGGAAAGGAGATATTTGAGCTCCAGCTCAAGCAAGCTTACAGTCTATGAGATTTATAAAGCTTACATTGTGTACACATTCCTTTTTAACCAACTGAAATATGGAGCATTCCAGTCCGTAACTTTGATCTTTGCCTCTTCCTTTTCAGGTCTCATGAGGTTCCGATCTCAGAAGGTCCAAGACTACATAACCTCTCAACACTTGGCCCCTATTCTTTATGTGGATGATTCAGGAAATCCCACTGAGAAATATCCCATGAACCCCAATGGCTCTCCTATTGGTATAGCTGCCCTCTGCTCGGAGGACGGACGTCACTTGGCCATGATGCCTCATCCAGAACGGTGTGTCCTTATGTGGCAATGGCCCTGGATGCCAGAAGATTGGCTCCAATCGCTGGATGTTTCACCATGGATGCGTCTATTTCAAAATGGTTATCGGTGGTGCCTGGAGAACTAGTCTAGAGTGTAACCTCAAAACACCAAATCTTAGAGATCTGTTAAGGTTACACTATTATTCACCTTTTAATAGCTTTCCTTGCCGGTACAAAAGCCACAGTCTCCATCGCTAAGGGGGAAATGATCGAAGAAACGGGTTGTTGGTACATAAACGGGTATATGTAATATTTGTGACAAGCCCCTTTAATTCTTTGTTAATTTACCATAAGCCTGATGTATTTTTATATTTCTTGTATTTGCTAAATCACCGGGCAGATAGAAATCGTATTACATGTATTTATGCTGTATCAGCATTGTTACACTCTAGTGTTCTAATACATTTGTATGTCCGTATTCTGTATCTCAACTTCGTATCAGCCCCATGTTGCCGAATCTCCTATTGTCATATGTGATATTTACAACCTACGAGGATCTCATTCCAATAAAGCCTTTAATTTCCGTTCTCCCAGTTTAAGCGAGTGTCCTGCTATGTGCTGGTTGTGAACGCTGCCGCCTACACTAAAATCTTAATCCACAATTCCTAATTCTACTGATCCTTGTAGGAATTTAGTGACCCTTTAATCACCAAGGAAATCAATGAACCACACAGAATGCAGTTCCTGACCCAAGGAGCACGCAATCCATTGATTTTAAAGGACAGTCAAAGTACCAGAATAATTTTTGGGAAATTATTTTGAGGCTTAGTTGCTGCTCCTGCAGCCTTGCGGAAGAAAACTGTTGTGTCTGAAGGAAGACACCGTCTACATTTTGCCATGTCTTTGCCAATCAGATGGCCTCTGGTGGCTTCAGGTTGAAATGGAGTCAGTAAGGGCTGGTCTAGAGCAAAGATTTGCCCGGGTATTTAAAGGCAGGGCAGAGAAAATACAGGAAAAACGTTAAAAGAGCATTTTATTATCTGTATTTTAATTATTAGAACAATCTTTCATTTCATGGGTTTGACCTCTGATGTCTTAATGCTCTGCTGTATTGCTGGTGACATAGCTAAGCGATATATTGTATCTTAGAATATGTTAACAGTCTCACTGGACAAGGAATTCCACGTATATATATACACACAAGGAAGCAGAGTTTGCTCTCGAAGACATCTGTGAGATATAACGTAGACCTGTACCCTTCCATGGATACCTGGTGTTTTGGTGAGTTTTGTTGCCATAATTAATTACATTTAAAAACTTAATAATCAATATGCTTTCGTAGTGTAGTCAGCCCATAATGACACCTTGTGCTCTTAGCATGAGATATTTAAAGGGACACTGCAGGCACTGTAACTGCTTCCTCTTGTTGAAGTGATTATAGTGTCTTGCGTTCCCATTTCATTTAGCATTAGAAATGGTTTAATGCAGCCCCACGGAATTTGCTGGCGCTATATAAATGTTAATAATATTGCTGAACGAGAGTCCCCAGTAGCCTACCCCTTCTGTTCTCCGTGGGCTATTGAAAACACAGTATCCTGAGAAAAAAATGAATGAATGTGAATGGCTGAAAGTGTCAGGTGACTACTATCACCCTATCACAATGGTCATTGCTGGTAGGACTACAAGGAAGTGTGTAAACTCCGCCAAAGCCATATTTTCAGTGGGGGCCATGCTATGGGCAGCAAGGGACTTTTATTTATTTTAAAGGATCACTATAGGGTCAGGAACACAAACATGTATTCCTGACCCTATAGTGTTAACACCACCATCTAGCCCCCCCAAGACCCCTCATGCCTCCATAAATATAGTAAAAATCTTACTGTATTCAAACCAGAAGCTGTAAATATGCATGCTGTTATACTCAGAAAAACAAGCAGTCTGCTGACATGTGGTAGCCTGATCCAATCACAGTGCTTCTCCATAGGATTGGCTGAGACTGACAAGAAGGCAGATCAGGGGCAGAGCCAGCATGATTCAAACACAGCCCTGGCCAATCAGCATCTCCTCCTGAATCAATGTATCTCTATGAGGAAAGTTCAATGTCTGCATGCAGTGGGAGGAGACACTGAATCACAGGATGCTGTGCACAGTGCTGCCCTGTGCTCTGCTGACAGCGGATCTGAGTAGATGGAGGCATATTATGCCTCCATCAACTCCAAAGTCCCTCTGGTTCACTCTGAGTGACTGCAACTGGAGGTGTTCCTAGCTTTCAATGTAAACACTGTATTTCTCAGAAAATACAGTGTTTACATGAGAAAGGCTGCAGGGAGCTATAGTTCTCACCTGAACAGCCTCATTAAGCTGAAGTTGTTCAGGTGACTATAGTGTCCCTTTAAGCCACTTAAATGGTTTAACACAGACTGGATGAACAGTGTCAGAGGACTCCAGGCAGTATAACAAATTCACAGGAACAACATGGTTATAGTGCCTACAGTGTCACTTTAACCCCTTCGCGACCTAGGACAGTTCAGGACCGTCATCGGCATTTTTGCCTTGCAGACCGATGACGGTCCTGAACCGTCCTAACGGTCTCCGTTACTTACCTGATCGCCGTCGTTCCCCCGGCGGCGATCAGTGTTGCTCCGGTTGTGGGGAGACTGCCTGCAGCCCAGACAGTCTCCCCACACTGAATTAGGACCCCCTGTGGCCATGTGATCGCTTAACACAGCGATCACATGGTCACAATAGGTGTCCATGTGTCTGCCTGCAGGGGGACTGTCTGTGCTGACAGGCAGTCTCCCTGCTAGTGTAAAATCATTTAAAAAAAATAAAGTTAATGTTAATAAAAAAAAAAAAATTATATGTGTATACATATATGATATATAGACATATTATATCAATATAATATGTCTATATCTCATATATATATAGCCATACTAAGTGTATTTTTATATTAATATGTACTTATATTAATATAAAAATACACTTATAATTAAATTACACACGTGTATATATATATAATATATATAACTATATATATTGTATATATATATTATAAAATATATATAATAAGTAATTTAAATTAAATAAAATTTTATAAATAATAAAAAAAAATTAAAAAATTATATCTATATGAAATTTTATTCTAACTGTATTTTAAAATTGATATATATATATATATTTATATCAAAATACACTTAGAATGAATTTGTATATATATCTATGTATATAAAAATAAATAAAAATAATAAGAAATATACATATGTCCATATACAAAATTACATAAATAATTATATAAATATACACGTAGACTTCAATATTAAATATATATTTAAATTCTATGTGTGTATTTATGTAATATTTTTACATAATTCAGTAATTTTATTGATTGCAATTTGAGGGACCTGCCTGCCAACCCAGGCCGAAATTCCAGAGAATTGAATTTGCTAGCACTGTATTTTACCCTGTAACGTTCTACGACACCCTAAAACCTGTATATGGGGGGTACTGTTTTACTCGGGAGACTTCGCTGAACACAAATATTAGTGATTCAAAACAGTAAAACATATCACAGCGATGATATTGTCAGTGAAAGTTACTTTTTTTGCATTTTTCACACACAAACAGCACTTTTACTGATGATATAATTGTTGTGATACGTTTTCAGTTTTTAAACACTAATATTTGTGTTCAGCTATGTCTCCCGAGTAAAACAGTACCCCCCATGTACAGGTTTTATAGCATTTTTGAAAGTTACAAGGTCAAATATATGGGTCAAATATTTTTACATTGAAAATGGCCAGGTTAGTTACGTTGCCTTTGAGAGTATGGTAGCCCAGGAATGAGAATTACCCCCATGATGGCATACCATTTGCAAAAGAAGACAACCCAAGGTATTGCAAATGGGGTATGTCCAGTCTTTTTTAGTAACCACTTGGTCACAAACACTGGCCAAAATTAGCGTTCAATTTAGTTTTTTTACTTTTTTCACACACAAACAAATATGAATGCTTGCTTTGGCCAGTGTTTTCGACTAAGTGGCTACTAAAAAAGACTGGACATACCCCATATTGAATACCCTGGGTTGTCTACTTTAAAAAAAATATGTACATGTGGGGTGTTATTCAGAGATTTATGACAGATAATAGTGTTACAATGTCACTATTGATAAATTTTAAAAATGTATGTTTTGAAACCGCAATATCCTACTTGTACCTATAGCCCTATAACATTCAAAAAAAAGCACGTAAACACGGGCTATTTTTAAACTCAGGACAAAATTTTGAATCTATTTAGCAGTTTTTTTAATTCGCTTTTGTAGATGAGTAAAAGATTTTTCAAGTAAAAGTGAAAAAACATGTTTTTTTTCAACTTTTCATCATATTTTTTTATTTTTTTTAAATTAAAATACATGAGATTATATAACTAATGGTATGTAAAGAAAGCCCCTTTTGTCCTGAAAAAAACAAAGATAATTTGTATGGGAAAAGTAAATGAGAGAGCGGAAAATTCCAGCCAAGCACAAACACCACAAAAGTGTAAAAATATGCCTGGTCGCAAATGTACAACATCGCAAAAACAGTCCAGTCCTTAAGGGGTTAAAGACTTCCAAAACAGCATGACATGAGGTTTTCTAGTTCACAGTGTGTTGCGATATATATGAAGTCCCCACACATTATATCATCACCAGCACAAGCTGTAGGAAGCTCGAGTCTCTCCATGTTGCTATCATGGTAAATAAACCTGCTTTCATGACCCTTGCGCTCAGTACAAAGTTATCTTGCTCTTAACAATGTGTTCTGAGAGGTCCTTGCTCTCCAGGACCTTGGTGGCTCCTCACAGTTTCTTTCTTTGTGTCCTGCGCAGGTAAGTTTGGTAGTAGAAGTTCAGGAAGAGAATAATGAGGGTCACGATGTATGCAAACACAGCCCCATTGAAGCCATCTGGGAAGGGGCAATCGGTCACAAGATTGTAGCCGGAATGAAGAGCGATTGCTCCAAACTGGGTCTGTAGGAACAAGAAGCTATTCATTCAGAGGTTCACAGGCCAAATCACCTATATTTTCTGCAAAAACCTGAATATACCGGGATTCACTGTGAATGGAGGACCATACCATTATGTGCAATGTCACCATATGTCACAGTAGAGTGACACATATTGTCATGCTAAAGGTCATTATTTAATATCACCTAGTGCAATGGATTTGACAATTTTACACCAGACTTACCAGCTGCAGCAATGTAAGGTAGCGTTTCCACCAAAGATACTTCTGCACGGTTGGTCCAAGCACAGCGAGTGCGTAATACAGATACATGAAGATGTGAACGAACGAGTTTAACATGCCAATAAAAAAGGCTGCAGAGTAAATATGGTGAATGTTAGTGCATCAGTGCCCAGTATACAAATACTGTACTTCACCATTTATCTAAAAGGACTTCACAAAGAGCTTTCTAAAAACTTTCTCAGAGTAAGAAAATGGGTACATGTGACAATTCACCAAATTGCATCAATAAAATTCTCTTAGCGAGATGAGGGATGGTAATCCCTAAATCCTGGACTGATAGGGGGTACTTGAGGACTGGGTTTGGTCTAGATACATAATCTCCATAGGATTTATTGTTGACTTGCAAAGACAGAAGACCTTTTTTCTGAAAGATCTATGCCCGGTTGGGTGTTTGGGTATAGCCACTGTCTTCTTTGGTTGGGAGACACAACTGAAGTGAGTTTTCAGTGTTATAGTAAAAGTTATTCGACTAGGCAACATTCGACTCAACTGTGCTGAGGTGAGTTACTTACCTTGCCCTCCAGCCACGTATTTCACACCAGCCCACCAATTAAAGATCATGGTTGCATGGTGGTAGACGTGAAGGAAGGAGATCTGATTAAACTTCTTTCTCATTATGAAAAATATCTGGGAAAAAAAAGCGAAAAATAAAACAAGGATTGCGAAGACTCTAGTAAAACATATGTTGTGAGAGACTGGGTGAAACTAGGTATTGGTGGTCTAGACAGAATTATGGCATGGTTAACTAGGAGGGAAGGGTGTGTGGAAGAATATGGAATTAAGAGGGTTGTCGTAGAATAGGATTTAACCAGAAGTATGGCCTAATAATCTAGCAGTGAGTGAGACCTCACAGTGAGTGAGATCTGGCAGATCATGGTGTTTGAGAATCTGGCAGATAGTGAGATCTGGGAGATGTAAGTAGACGTACTCACTGTGTCTAATAGCTCGATGACTTTGGAAAAGAAAAACCACCAGCAGACACGGGCCATCTGTAAGAGAGACATAGATAATGCTGCCATGGGAGGCATAAACATTTCAGAAATTACACCCTAAACCTCAGCCTCAATACATTAACCAGGGAAACCATAACAATACAGGCCAACATTAGCCAACATAATGGCTTGTATAATCCAAAGGTGTCCCAACTGTCAGGCTGGTATAACTTCATTATACATCATACCATGTAAAATCAAAAGGCTGTATGACTTAAAACATACTACGGGTATCACCAGGCTGGTATAACTTGATACATACTATGGATATCACCAAGCTGGTATAACTTGAAACATACTAGGTATATCACGAGGCTGGCATGACTTGATACATAGTACCGGTATCATCAGGCTGGTATGACTTGATACACACTACGGATATCACCAGGCTGGTATGACGATACATACTATGGATATCACCAAGCTGGTATGACTTGATACATACTACGGATATCACCAGGCTGGTATGACTTGATACATACTACGGATATCACCAGGCTGGTATGACGATACATACTACGGATATCACCAGGCTGGTATGACTTGATACATACTGCGGATATCACCAGGCTGGTATGACTTGATACATACTACGGATATCACCAGGCTGGTATGACTTGTAATGTAGTAAGTGGTTTCACTTACCCGCAGGCCCAGCTCACTGTTACTGTAATCCACAGGTTGGCATAAATAGCTGTATCCAGCCAATACGGACGTCACAAGGAACTTAATGAAGATAATATGGGTATGGTAATTAGAAAAGGTACCAAAGTAAGAGTAGGATAAATGTAAGTGTAAACCAAAGGAGAGTTGGATGGGAGAGTAATATAAACCAGAGGAGGGTTGGACGGGAGAGTAATATAGACCAGAGGAGGGTTGGACGGGAGAGTAATATAAACCAGAGGAGGGTTGGACGGGAGAGTAATATAAACCAGAGGAGGGCTGGACGGGAGAGTAATATAAACCAGAGGAGGGCTGGACGGGAGAGTAATATAAACCAGAGGAGGGCTGGACGGGAGAGTAATATAAACCAGAGGAGGGCTGGACGGGAGAGTAATATAAACCAGAGGAGGGTGGACGGGAGAGTAATATAAACCAGAGGAGGGTTGGACGGGAGAGTAATATAAACCAGAGGAGGGTGGACGGGAGAGTAATATAAACCAGAGGAGGGTTGGACGGGAGAGTAATATAAACCAGAGGAGGGTTGGACGGGAGAGTAATATAAACCAGAGGAGGGTTGGACGGGAGAGTAATATAAACCAGAGGAGGGTTGGACGGGAGAGTAATATAAACCAGAGGAGGGTTGGACGGGAGAGTAATATAAACCAGAGGAGGGTTGGACGGGAGAGTAATATAAACCAGAGGAGGGTTGGACGGGAGAGTAATATAAACCAGAGGAGGGCTGGACGGGAGAGTAATATAAACCAGAGGAGGGTTGGACGGGAGAGTAATATAAACCAGAGGAGGGCTGGACGGGAGAGTAATATAAACCAGAGGAGGGTTGGACGGGAGAGTAATATAAACCAGAGGAGGGTTGGACGGGAGAGTAATATAAACCAGAGGAGGGTTGGACGGGAGAGTAATATAAACCAGAGGAGGGTTGGACGGGAGAGTAATATAAACCAGAGGAGGGTTGGACGGGAGAGTAATATAAACCAGAGGAGGGCTGGACGGGAGAGTAATATAAACCAGAGGAGGGTTGGACGGGAGAGTAATATAAACCAGAGGAGGGTTGGACGGGAGAGTAATATAAACCAGAGGAGGGTTGGACGGGAGAGTAATATAAACCAGAGGAGGGTTGTATGGGAGAGTAATATAAACCAGATGAGGGTTAGACGGGAGAGTAATAAATACCAGAGGAGGGTTGGACGGGAGAGTAATATAAACCAGAGGAGGGTTGGACGGGAGAGTAATATAAACCAGAGGAGGGTTGGACGGGAGAGTAATATAGACCTGAGGAGAGGTGGAGGGGAGTAGTATAAACCAGAGTAGGGTTTGATGGACAGTAAGATAACCCTGAGGGCTAGATAGAAGACAAGCAGGTTACACCTTAGTACCTACCTCATAGAACATGTATGCAGAGAGCACCACCAGCGCCAAGTTATAGATAAGAAGTACAGATCTGAGAGTGAAGGGTTCCCGACCATCCATCAGCCGTGGTCCCAGGGCCACAAGCACGAGGTAAACAGTGAAAAGCAGGATCACTGGTAATGGGGAGTATACCAGGAGCCAAGGGTCTGTACGGCTATCTATAGAGAGGGTAAGGGGGTCATATAATATTTTAGTCTTAATAAATGCTATTTAAATATCAATATCATATAAACATTGTGTCCCATAACGCCCTTCTGTCTGTGTCACCCTGCAGTGGGAGGGACAGACTCCGTGTCCCATAGCTCCTTCTGTCTGTCACCCTGCAGTGGGAGAGACAGACTCCGTGTCCCATAGCTCCTTCTGTCTGTGTCACCCTGCAGTGGGAGGGACAGACTCCGTGTCAAATAGCTCCTTCTGTCTGTGTCACCCTGCAGTGGGAGGGACAGACTCCGTGTCCCATAGCCCCTTCTTTCTTTGTCACCCTGCAGTGGGAGAGACAGACTCCGTGTCCCATAGCTCCTTCTTTCTTTGTCACCCTGCAGTGGACCTGATGGAAGTCTAGGTAGTCACCCTCCTAGGGAAGGCTGTGTTGTTGTTATAGTGACAATTTTTACCTCCATTTTCCAAAGCCCACGTGTAGAAATCCTGCACCGACTGCCAAACAGACCCCATGCTGACCTGTAACAGAAGGTTAAAGTGATAGAAAGTTACAGTAAATAGATACATTACAGACCGACCAGCTTCAAACAAGATCTCAGGTTCTGCAGGGACAATAAGGAATCTGTCAAAGCTGACAGCCTAGTCATAGGGCAGAAATTGAGTGAATTCCTTCCTGATCCCATGAGATTCAGCTGAATTTCACTGACTAATTTACCAAAGTGAGTTCACAGGGGAATCAAATTTAAGGTCAAAATAGACAAACTAGAAATAGAGACAGCTCGGCTACTTTGGCCTGAGACTTGAAATTCTGAGTTTAGTGATAACCCTCTGTCTGACTCTCGATTAACTGTCTCGAGCCATTTAACAGAGCCGTACAGCCTACAGCAGGTATAACAGGTAACACGCAGACACGTGACTCTGACACTCTCCCCCAGCATCCTGTATGTGACATTCTCTCTGTCCTTATATCCCAGCGTGGCTCTCTCTGTCTCTTTATATGTTACTGTGTCTGTCTCTCTGTCCTTATAATACCCGGCTGTCTCTTTTCCTTTACAACTTGGCTTGATTGTCTCTCTGCCCTTACTCCCCACAGTGGCTTTCTCTATCTTTACACCACGATGTAGCTGTCCCTCTCTGTCAGTGGTTGTCTCTCTCTCTCCTTACACCCCAGCGCGGCCGTGTCTCTCTCTCCTTACACCCCAGCGCGGCCGTCTCTCTCTCTCCTTACACCCCAGCTCGGCCGTCTCTCTCTCTCTCTCCAGCACACCCCAGCGTCTCTCTGCCTCTCTCCTTACACCCCAGCGCGGCTGTCTCTCTCTCTCCTTACACCCCAGCGCGGCTGTCTCTCTCTCTCCTTACACCCCAGCGCGGCCGTCTCTCTCTCTCCTTACACCCCAGCGCGGCCGTCTCTTTCTCTCCTTACACCCCAGCGCGGCCGTCTCTCTCTCTCTCCTTACACCTCAGCATAACCATCTCTCTCTCCTTACACTCCAGCGTGGCCGTCTCTCTCTCCTCACACCTCAGCGTAACCGTCTCTCTCTCCTTACACTTCAGCGTAACCGTCTCTCTCTCCTTACACTCCAGGGTGGCCATCTCTCTCTCCTTACACCCCAGCGTGGCCGTCTCTCTCTCCTCACACCAGCGTGGCCGTCTCTCTCTCCTTACACCCTAGCGTGGCCGTCTCTCTCCTTACACCCCAGCGTGGCCGTCTCTCTTTCCTTACACCCCAGCGTGGCCGTCTCTCTTTCCTTACACCCCAGCGTGGCCGTCTCTCTTTCCTTACACCCCAGCATGGCTGTCTCTCTCTCCTTACACAAAAGCATGGATGTCTCTCTCTCCTTACACCCCAACTTGGCTGTCTCTCTCTCCTTACACCCCAGCGTGTCTGTTTCTCTCTCCTTACACCCCAGTTTGGCTGTCTCTCTCTCTCTCCTCACACCCCAGCGTGGCCGTCTCTCTCTCCTTACACCCCAGCATGGATGTCTCTCTCTCCTTACACCCCAGTTTGGCTGTCTCGCTCTCTCTCCTTACACCCCAGTGTGTCTGCTACTCTCCTTACTCCCCAGCTTGGCTGTCTCTCTCTCTCCTTATAGCCCAGCATGGCTTTCTCTCTCTCCTTACACCCCAGCATGGCTGTCTCTCTCTCCTTATACCCCAGCGTGGCTGTCTCTCTCTCCTTACACCCCAGCATGGCTGTCTCTCTCTCCTTATACCCCAGCGTGGCTGTCTCTCTCTCCTTACACCCCAGCATGGATGTCTCTCTCTCCTTACACCCCAGTTTGGCTGTCTCGCTCTCTCTCCTTACACCCCAGTGTGTCTGCTACTCTCCTTACTCCCCAGCTTGGCTGTCTCTCTCTCTCCTTATACCCAGCGTGGCTTTCTCTCTCTCCTTACACCCCAGCATGGCTGTCTCTCTCTCCTTATACCCCAGCGTGGCTGTCTCTCTCTCCTTACACCCCAGCATGGCTGTCTCTCTCTCCTTACACCCCAGCATGGCTGTCTCTCTCTCCTTATACCCCAGCGTGGCTGTCTCTCTTTCCTTACACCCCAGCATGGCTGTCTCTCTCTCCTTATACCCCAGCGTGGCTGTCTCTCTTTCCTTACACCCCAGCGTGGCTGTCTCTCTTTCCTTACACCCCAGCGTGGCTGTCTCTGTCCTTTAGCTTTGAGTGAATGAAAGGATTACTTACACAACAAGAGGGTTTGTCCAAGAGAAAGGGCGGGTGTGTGTGTACTCCCCTCCCCTCTCTGTGCTGTCTATCTCTTTAACCCTATAGTAATGCACAGATAGGAGAACCTTTGATCAGTTACCAAGGACGCTGTCACGCTGGAGACACTGTGCAGGCAGATAGGACACGTTACCCAGACCTGTTATAGGATCCAATCTGAATGATCACACAATGTTTAGCTGTATTCGTAGAATTATTAGCGCAGGTTTCAGGATACGTTGTAGCAATAAGTGAGTGGAAGGAGATTTAGCAAAGTGTCACAGCTGCTTTTGTGCTTTTCTTAATGTTTTTTTTTTGTCAGTGCAATGTATTAAAACTAGCAGGGCTTTTATTAGTTGTTTGTTTTATTTTTTGGGACAATCTTTCTTTTTTGGTTTTACAGGAACAGAAAAAAAAATAAATAAACAATATATTTTTTTAAATTCTTCCTGTGAAGTAAGTCAGTAACGGTTAGGTAGTCAGTTACGTTTCCCAGAGTACCCTTCTTTTATCTGCTGCTTTAAGAGCTTAGGTAGTGGTTGTAGTGCAAGCTCACAGCTGGTAATTTCCCTCATCTTGGAGTGCACCATCTCCCAGAAGCGAACGATTGTTGGGCATGACCACCAAATGTGGACCCCAGTTCTCAACTCGGAGCCGCATCGCCAGTATTCCGCTGGTATCTCTTTGTGCATGTGGCGCAGGACATCTGGAGTTGAATAGCAGAATGTCAGTAATTTGTAACTCAGTTCCTGAAATTTCGAGCTTATATAGTAATTGTGGGTCAGGATGAACATTTTGTCCCACTCTTGAACTGTAATCAGCCACTTCCCTCTCCCACTTACTCAATGAGCTCCCGAGACAAGCAGCAGGTAAATAAGCTTTCAAATTGGTTTAGGGTTCACTGTAGCTGTCCTCTGCTTCAAATTGATGTGTAGTAGGTCTTAATTTGGTGGTAGTGAAACTGGTCTAGTGTGGCTGTCGTTCAGGAAGTAGGTCGGTTATGGATTCATTTGGTTAGGTGTGCACCATAGATGAATGTATACCAAATCTGGCGATGGAATCCCACCAGGTGAGAAGGGCTAAGTCCACCAGCCAGGTCAGAGTTGTTTGTTATGGATGTATGTGGGTTGGGGGAGGTGGTCAACTGTCGTGTGTAGCAGAGAAATCACTCAGTGGTGTACCCCCTAGTCTCCGCATGGAGGGGATCTTGCCATCAGATTGCTGAACCTCCATGTCCATTCACTGCTTCATGGTGGGGCACACATAGCAATCTAACGTGATAGTACGCAACTATGAACGGGAATTCCGTTCCACCAGATTATTTAGGTAGCTCCAATAGGGCCTTACAGATCCAAGTGGGCTGCTGGCTACGCACAAACCCCCGTATTGCTGCCGTAAGGGAACTGAAATGATGCTCTCGGGATTATCACTGGTAGTTTTTTCATAGTCTGGAACAAATATAGGATATGCGGCAAGGCATTTAGTTTAAGCACATTCATACAGCTAAACCATGGTATATATTGCAGTGTCCAACATTGTCGGTCGGATTGCAACGCATTGTGAATCGGAAGAAAATTCAGCTGATACAGTTGTGTGAGTTCTCTCGGCAACCATACGTCGAGGTAGCAAACCTTATTCTAACACCAGTTAAAAGAGAATTGAGGACATAGGTAGGCCGAAGATTCATGGGTAAGTGAGATGCAGTGCCTCAGACTTATGCATGTTAAGTTTTAGATTAAGGCAAATGTTCTGAAGGACTCCAGTGAATTGGGCAACAAAACCATCAGCTATTCTAGGAAGAAGAGCATGTCATCGGCATAAGCAGAGACACGGTGCTCCCTGCGGCTCAGGGTGAACTCTGTTATACACCCATCCTGTCTATCCACCTCCAAGAAAAGCTCCAGAGACAAGGGACACCCCTTGCGAGTACTGACAGATGGGAAATGGGGATGTAAACGCGTTGTTAACCCGGATACAAGCCGCAGGCACAGAAGAGGCCTGAATCTCGTGTGTAAAATGAAGGCTATCTGGGCCCAGGGCTCGATTAGATTTCAATAGTTTCAGGGCTTCATTTAGTTCCTCTATAGTCAGAGGTTGCTCTGGGTCTTTGGGCCATTTCAGGTGTTAGCCTCCAGGTAACATATCGATTAAGGAACTCAGATATTAAACACTGATGCCGCTGGGAAGGAATGTTAAGTCCCCTAACGCTATTAGACCAGACATGCAGCTGTGCTGAGTGGAAACCATTGTGACCTTCAATCAGAGGGGATATCAGGAAAATTTCCCCTTGATTCTCCAATCTTAGTTTTCAGTGATTTTTAGCCCTATATAATAACTAAAAATATTCTCTGAAGACCGAATACTCAGAGTCTGAATAGCAGGAATTGATCAGGACCACCCAAAGTTCTATTTTGAACCTAGAATCCATACATTTTTCACAATATTTATCAATGTCCAACTTGTACAATTCAACTTCAAATTGGACATCAATGTGGACCGAATTCCCGTCTATCTGCATATCAGAGAAGTGCTGAATCCACAACTCTTTCCTGCCTCCATCTTATCTTCCATTCATTGTTATCAGCTCTGTACCTTGCTCCTGGTAATCAGCATGAAAATAACATACAGAGAACTGGAAAACTTAAACATGGGCGGAGATTTAGCCAATTCTCACCAACATTTTTGTGTAAACTTTTTGGGCAATTTATCAAATCTATTAAAAATCTTAATCTCAAATACCTACGCATATTTAAATAACTAAAGGCTATTTTAGCATCACTCCAATACATCAGCCATGAATACAGTTGTGTTTAAAAGTTTGCATACCCTTGGAGTATTGGTAATATATGAACCATTTTTAAAGAAAACAAGAGTGAGCAGACAAAACACATTTCTTTCATTTCTTATGGGATTCATATCGAACTGTAAATTATAACAGAATAGCACAATCATAACACAAAACATGGTGTGACGAAGTGCCCTTCGCCACTTGTGCCTGGAGAGGACTGCTTGCCCGCCTCTTGCCCTGTGACTATGGCCCCTGGTTTGTATTGCCCTTTAAAGACATGATTTGGGCATAATGGATTTGTGTTGTGCTGCTGCTGGCCCTTTTAAGAACCATCTGGGGACATACTGTGGAGTTACTGGGTGGCCACCATTTCCTGTATCAGAAGCACATGGTGAGAACAATGGATGGCGGCCATTTTAACTCACAGACACTGTTTGGACTTTTCAACACGGTGCCATCTCGCCAGTATTTGTTGCACAGAGACATCGTGCGGTGGTTTTGGACTATACAGCAGGGGACACATTATACAGTGATTGTTTTTCATTTAGCCTTTATATGTTCTGCAGAATCTGCATTAAACTGTATTTTCCAAAGTACTGAACGGATCTGGGTGAATTTTGGATATGTGGTTCACCCAGATCCCCCGGTTCCAAGGATATACTTTTTATGGGGTTATTGCATGTTTTGGGGTCCCTGTGTGTTTTATGAAACTGTATTATATCTGGCCAGCAGATAATTGAGCATTGTGTATTGTAGCAACTCAATTATCTAGCCTGGCCCAGAGGAGGAGTTTTGTGTTGCATAAATTGTGAGTTCTGTGTGCCAGTAAATCAGTCTTGTTCCAGCATTAAGCCTTGGCTCATGTTTGGGGGAAGGGATACCTACACTCTGGGGATTGCTATAATCACTTACTCCCCAGAGGAAGCTCTTGCAATAGCTTGATTTGTTCCTGTTCCTGCTCTCTGGGGAAAGAGAGGTTCACCCACTGGAAGCTGGATCCTGCCCTTGGGTCCAGGGTGGGTGGAAACAGCAGAGACCCCGGCGCAGTTGCATCGCTGGAAGTGGGGTCTGCAGTGCTGATGGTGTCAGTTGAGAGTGCTTGGAGTCCTCAGCGAGCACTAGGAGCATCGATTGGCGGAGGTACTCAGTCGGAGTGCCAGCGTTCCGTCACACATGGCAACAAAGAAAAAAATGAAATGACCCCGTTCAAAAAGTCTGCATACCCTTAGTTCCTAATACTGTGTATTGCCCCCTTTAGTATCAATGACAGCATGCAGTCTATTGTAATAGTTGTCTATGAGGCCCCTAATTCTTGCAGGTGATATTCATCTTGGCAAAATGCCTCCAGGTCATGCAAAGTCTTTGGTCGTCTTGCATGAACCGCACGTTTGAGATCTCCCCAGGGTAGCTCGATGATATTAAGGTCAGGAGACTGTGATGGCCACTCAAGAACCTTCACCTCTTTCTGCTTTAACCACTGGAGAGTCAACTTGGCTTTGTGCTTAGGGTCATTGTCATGTTGGAAAGTCCAAGAGCGTCCCATGCGCAGCCTTCATGCAACAGAATGCAAATTGTCTGCCAGTATTTTATGATAACATTCTGCATTCGTCTTGCCATCAATTTTCACAAGATTCCCCATGCCTTTAGCGCTCACACCCCCAAAACATCAGTGAGCCACCACCATGCTTCACAGTGGGGATGGTATTCTTTTCACTATTGTGACCATAAAGCTCTATTTTGGTCTCGTCACTCCAAATTACAGTGTGCCAGAAGCTGTGAGGTGTGTCAAGGTGTTGTCGGACATATCGTAACCGGGCTTTTTTGTGGCATTGGCGCAGTAAAGGCTTCTTTCTGGCAACTCGACCATGCAGCTCATTTTTGTTCAAGTATTATCATATTCTGCTCCTTAAAACAACCACACCGTCTTTTTCCAGAGCATCTTGTATTTCTCCTGAGGTTACCTGTGGGTTTTTCTTTGTATCCCAAACAATTCTTCTGGCAGTTGCGGCTGAAATCTTTCTTGGTCTACCTGACCTTGGCTTGGTATCAAGAGATCCCCAAATTCTTCACTTTTTAATAAGTGATTGAACAGTACTGACAGGCATTTTCAAGGCTTTGGATATCTTTTTTTATCATTACCATTACCTTGTTACACAGGCTTTTGACCATTCTTTTCTGTTCCCA